GGCATAAACAGAATAATTGAATGAAACAGACTTCAAATAAATGAACAATAATTAGGCAAGACACGTTTGTAGGTTCTAGTTTGGATGGATGCAAGTCCGATGAGGTGGAAAAGCCACTTCCCGTTCTACGTTTCTCAGACTATAATCTGGACCTCATTTTACAGATGACACAAGCCATCCTGGGGCTAAATTACAGTTCTCAGCAGACCTTTCCTGGAACCCCAGGAAAGGCATAAAGACCCACCCAATGTCCTCAATGTCCTAAAGCGTGTCAGAATCAGTCTGGAGCTCCTTCAAACTATGAATGCTTGCGCCCTAAGAGGTTCTGGTCCTTGTGCTGGGAGAAGACAAGACTGTCCAGGTCATTACCATACATCCCTCTCATCCTGTTTCCGCTCAATCCAAAGTCAAGCCACTCTAAATTTGTGGGAGTCCACACTTTGTAACATTCTCGCGGCAATCTAGATGTGGTAGATGTGCTACTCTGCCTTTTATCATCCTTGGAGTATCCTGCCTCCAGTAAACTATGGAGCCGGAAGGATCTCAGACACCTTCCCCGTCCCTGCCCAGTCCACCAGCGGCAAAGGCGAGGTGCTGAGTGGATAAGACACTTCGTTCTACTCCTTGGCTGCTCTGTCCTGTGGAAACCACCAACCCAATCCTTTTTCAGTCCAGAAAGTCACCTCCTACTTATTACCTGGTCAGATTCATTTTCCAAACGATCTCCTCCAGGAAGAAGGGAAGAGTAACGGCACTCAATTCAATATTCCCGGGGGTAGGGGTCAGGACAACTGTGTCCAGTTAAACCCAGTAACTTTATTGTGACATTTTAGGGACAGTGCAGGGACTAGAGGATGAGGGTGATGAAAAGTTTGGGGAAAAATCCATAACTAGATGGGATGGAGTGTCCCAGGTTGAATTTTATAGATTCCATTAAAAACTATTTAAGGTCCCTATAAACTTATAAAATATGAAGAAATATTTGTTCCTTTCATTATTCTCAAGATACTGGACTCTCCCAGCTTCAGTTAAGCAAATGACATCCGCTGTGTATTTCTTCATGATTAACCTTCCTGAGATTTTTGGAGACTCAACATCCTCCACCCATGTTAGTTTAGCTCTAACTCTCTCTAACATACAGACCAGTTAACACATCCAAGTATCATTTTTGGGAGACATACATGTGGGGGTTACTGAGTGAAAAGCATTTCTTATATATACAATGGAATACTATTCAGCCACGAGAAAGAAGGAAATCTTGCCATTTGCAACAACGTGGATAGGCCTTGAGGGCATGGTGCCAAGGGAGATAAGTCAGATAGGGAAAGACAAATATTGTATATCTCATTTTTATGTGGAATCTGAAAAAGCCAAACTTGTAGAAACAGAGAGGAGAATGGTGGTTACCAGAGCCTGGGTGTGGGGAAGTGGGAAGATGTTGTTAAAGGTACAAACTTGCAATTAGAAGATGAATAAGTTCTGGAGATCTAATGCACAGCATAGTGATTATAGCCCACATTCCTGTGTTATATACTTCAAAGTTGCTAAGAGACTGGATCTTACACGTTCTCAAAACAAGAAAGACACGATGATGAAGTGACGTGATGGGGGTGTTGGCTAACGCTGTGATGGCGATGACATTGCAATATACAAACGCATCGAATCAACACGCTGTACCCCTTAAACTTACACAGTGTTATAGGTCAGTAACACTGCAATAAAAAAGCATCTCTGAGCTACATGCCAAGCACATGTATCAGCTTTGATTACAACAAGCTTTCAGGTTAAAGCCCTCAACGTAGCAAAACTAGGATATAAATCAGATGTTAAGTCAATGAGCAAAGGATCAGGCACCATCATCTGATTTTGAGAGGGAGGCAGGTGCCCTGCTGTGCAGGGCCTTTCCACCCATATTAAGGATTTGGTTGTTTTTCCTAATGAAAGGGTTTAAGCAGGGGGACCCCAGGACCCGATTCGGGTTCAAGACTACTTCAGCTGCTGGACTGAGGCTGGATTCAAGGTGGTAGAGTGGACAACAGGGACCAGTGGATGCAACTGTAGTATGTGTTCTCAGAATAGGCAACAGTTGAATGTATGAAGTATATACATGTACACACATGCACACATAAATCTACCTGTCCATCTGTCTGCAATCTAACTATCCGCTTCTTAATCACAGACACATTATACATGCCATTATCTTGTACACTAAATGAAGCTCCAAAAGTACAGAGGGCCGGTTCAGCCCCTGCTGTAGCATTAGACTGGCACTCCTTTCACCCTTAGGCCTGAATTGTGTTTGGCCTGTTTGTTGGATGGCTTCCTTCTCTTGCGCTGTGTCCTGTTGGAGGAGGGAGAGCTCCCCAGCCTGTCCCAGGGCAGACTTCGCAGGAGCCAGGGCTAAGCTGATGAATGCAGAGGCAGGCTTGCAGCTGAAATGCCCAGTGGGCAACGCAGGAAGCGGCTGAGAAGGCACCCCCTTTCCTTCTCAGAGCATCAGCAGCCACGTTGCTTCCTCCCTGTCTGACCTTGATTTATGGTTCTGTTTCTGGGGGCTCCTCAGCCCTGACATGGTCCTCCAGGCCCACAGGAGCCCTGGGATGCATCACGTGGAGAGGCCTGGTCTGGCTTTGTCTTTCCACTTAGAATGAAACGGAAAATCTACTCCCTCCTGAGTCGCGCAGACCAGCAGAGGAATGTGAGCACACGCAATGCATGAAATGTGATGGTGAAAATGCTGTTGCTCGTTTTCAATTCACAAAGACACCTGCTTCATAGAAAGGAGGCAATTTTCATTTTTCTGAGGAGGAGCTGCTCCCAAAGGTGAAAGGAGCAGGTGGCCTTGCTTTACCATCATCATCTTGAGAAATGGGCATTTTTCTGAATCCCCCTGCTCTGTGGGAAATGCTTTGAAGTGCTTGACCATGAACCCTGGTCTCTGGCCATCTCTCCAGGCCTGGGATCAGGCAGGAGCGGCCACCTGTTGTGGCCTTGTGAGGCCATCCCTTGAACTTCATGCAGGTGCTCGTCGGGGCCTTCTTAGCCACGGACATCCCTACGTGATGGCTCGTCATGCTCGGAGCCCCAGAGCTCCTGCTTGGCTTGTTTCTTCTGGACTCTGGTGTTAGACTGTCTTTGACTTATGAAGTCTCTGTGCTCAACATTGCCAAGATTCTGGAGGCAAAAGCTAAAATGTAAGGCTGAACCTGGAATGTGAGCCTCACACAGATGAATCACACGTGGGCTCGAGCAGCTCCCGGAAGCAGTGGACGCTAAGCCCCATTGTCTCGTAACCTTTGCTTTGAGGCGTAATGCTTACTAATGCTAATTTAATTTTGTGGGTATTTATTTAAGTTATATTTTAATACCTCAGAAGCCTACGCAGTGCGAGGAGGCAGCAGTTCTGAGAAGCAGTTTCACATGAGCTTCTAGACATGAGGGTACCAACGGGTGGCGCTCACCCCTCCTCCTCCAGGCCAGAGGTCCAAGTCTGCTGACATACCCTGGGATGGCCAAGCGGGGCCTGGGTGGTCACCTCTGGCCATGAGTGGCCTTGTCCGGTTACCCCAGCGTGCTGCACAGATGTCTGCACTTGCTGTGTGTGGCCTGCCATGAAGACAGTCCGCCTACATGGCTCCAGGCTGCGCAGAGAACTATGCTCAGTTCTCACAGATCTGGATCCCCCAGGGAGGACCTCTCTGAGCTGGACTTCTCACGGCTCCCAGCTTTCAGCTCCTGCTGGCATCTGCCTGGGCCCTTCCAGTAGACAATTCCTTCCACAGCCGAGTGCTGAGGCAGATTGGTTCACTGCTCTATGTTCTGTCTCCAAGAGCAGGTGTGCTCCGGGTTCTGGGGTCAACAGGCTCCAGCATGACTGCTTTTAGGATGCCTGAATTAGGAACGCCTCAGACGTTTCTAAAGGTATCCTGGGAATATAATTCTAATAACAGCAAGCTTGACTAGCCAGAACAGAGAGCATAGTCCATGGAAAAGGAAACATCCCTTTTCCTGGCTTCTTGCCATACCTGATAGGGAGCCGGATCAGCTGAACTGTCTCCAGCCCCACGGAGTGTCTCCCTGTCAGCGTCCCGAGGGCGCCAGGGTCTTATCCAGGCTGCATTTTACAAAGGATTGTTGCTCTGATTATTACCAGCCCCTCCCCCAAAGAGCCAATAAATGGAATATATTTTTCATGCTTTGTGTAAAGAATAATAGAATTTTGGAGCTGGAATGAATCTTATCTGAGTTCCTAAAGTGTCAGTACATTTTACAGGTCAAGCAACCGAGGCCCTGGGGGTAAGGGACTCGCCAGAGGCCACCTGCTGTGTCTGCCACCCCTCACGAGTGCCCCCCACAGGCAGCCCCCACACAAGCTCCATGCCACATCTCTCTGGAAGGATCTGATTTCAAGCTTACATTTTGAATGCAGACAAAGGTGATGTTTCAGCGTTCCCTTCGTGCTTAAGCGTCTTTTCTTTTAGAGAGCTTTGGAGAAAGCGTACTAAAGGATTCTGGGTCTTTATCACACACCTCTCTCCAAGGGGGATAGAAATTAATTTGTAAATAGTAAATAGACTATGCTGCACATGCCTTGGAGACAAACTAGTGGCTCTTCCTTCACCAACCTCCCCCTACTCCCACCATAACAAGAGCCACCATTTACCCACCCAGGACTGACTGCACAAGACACCCTGCAATTATTTGCAACCCTCTCAATAACCCTATCAGGTAGAAATTATTATTCCTATCTTGCAGATGAGGAAACTGAGGCTCCCAAAGGCTAAGTAACTTGCCCCAGTTCACACAGCTTGGTGAGTGCTGGAATCCTAGTTATCTGATTCCAAGGGTATACTCTTTCCACTTCAGGCTGGTGAAGACATCATTTTGCATCTCAGGGCGCTGTTAAAGTCATGCGACCCAGAGACGAGCCCCCCACCGCATCCCCCAGCCGCTCTGCTTTAAGCAGAGGACCTCTGTGGTGAGGCCAAACCCTCATCTACCTGCAGAACTCTCCTTCCGATTCCGGCAGCAGGAGGGAGGCCATGGGGTTCTTCATCAGGTCGGCCACCACGGGGTCCTTGGGCGTCACATAGAAGAAAGGAGTCCCAGTGCTGTTGTTCAAGGGGCCGTCGCTGATGGGCAGGCAGTTCCCAAATGGCAGTCCTGGGATCTGACAGACACCAAAAAAGGGTTTTTCAATGTACAGTTGTGGGCTGACCTGAGCTGGGAGCTTAGCTTGTGTCTCTGGCCAAGAAATACAGCCCCGGGGATGTGAGGGAGCATGGCACCACCAGGGTTTTCACAGGCAGGACACTGAGGCACCGAGGTTCCCAATGTGCCCAATTCACCCAGTGATGGCTCCAGAATTTCTAGAGAGGAGCTTAGCAGTGGCATTCTGTTCGGAAGGGATGGTTAGGAGATTATTCTTGAAGCTGCACTTACCTAGCAAACACACTCACCTTATTAAATGTGAAGTTGTTTGGGGGAGCGGCAATGAAATTCACGGAGGGGCGCTAAAACCGCTCCCACGAGCTGGCCCTGGGAGCCCACTGCTTCCACCGCCTCCCCGAAGGTTTTGGCAGATTTGGGGATAGACTTTAAGTCTTAACTTTAACATCTTACCTGACCTTTGGACTCCAGGAACATTCTATTACTGTTTCTTTTAGGGCCACACCACTTTTACTTATTAGTCACATTTTTTCTTGTAATCAACAATATTTCATTATAGAATGCAGGAACTTATGGGAAATTGGTTTTCTCACCCTTTTAGCTTAAAGGAAACCACAGAAAAATGCTACGGCAATTTTTGTTCACGATCATCTAGTCGATGGGTGAAATTCTCAGACACATCCACATATATTTCTTCGGTTTTCCCAAACCCTGCTGGGTCCAGCATCTCAATCTTCATGAGCTTTACCCTTTATAGAGTGTTCCTCGTCGTTACTTAGCTCACAACTCAGAGGCTGTCTTTGTCTTTGAAGTGTTGCATGACAACGGTGTGTAGAATTGTGATAAGGGATGGCTTTAATCTTTTAAGAAAACACGATGTTAAGCAGTCCTCGAAAATGGTAATACAAGCCCATTCACAAGATTCTGTTTTCCAGCTTGTCCTAAGCTGCCTAGACTCATGCTTTGCACCCAGGGCAGGCATGTGGCAAATGCTCTCTGAATTTATTGAGTTTAGATTAAATGTCAATATTGGAAAAGGGCACTACTAACGAAGCTAAGAAAAGGGATGTCGAAAGTCAAAATATCTTTAGTACATTGGCATTAGACTTTTAACTGCTTGCAACAATCCGTGTTTTAAACCAAGATGATCTTCATATTTAAGCTTCATATCTTCTTAAGGTGTGTCTTAGGAGCATAATATATAACTGAAAACTATGTGGATGCTGTGAAAGAGGTTAAGATCATTGCCATAACTGGAATAAAGTTGTGATTTTGATCTCTTTTTTAAGCAACCAAGGACCTTCAAAACTACCTATTCCTAGTCAGCCACTTAATTTCATAGATGAGGAAAGCAAAGTGGAGAACCCAGTGACTGGGCCACAGTCTCAGAGCACGTGAGACCCAGAGCTGGGGCAGGAACCTGCCCCCTGGCCAAGGACCTATACATTCCATAAAATATTAATTTTTTTATATGAAATAAGTAGGAGTTCACATTATTGCCCTGTAATAAAATCCTTACATTGATCTTAACAGCCCCAAAAGCTTTCTGGAGGGTGTACTTATGGATGTGACATCCTCATCATTTATCTATGTCACTCTGGCTTAAGGTGGAATCGCGTCTAACAGACGAGTAAAACATGTGTGAACTGAACCATAAAGATTGCCACTGATAACAGCTCATTCCAGATTTTTGCACAATAAGCCTCCTTCCCAGAAAAGTTCTTGAGTTCCATTTTTTAAAATGTAAACTTCCACCAAAGCCCGGGGTAGCGTCTTTCTCCCAGTCCCGCTTGGGTTCGGTGTCAGCAGGTGACGGGAAAGTTCAGGTTACTGGCGGGTGCTGTGGGCTGGGAGGGGCTGTGCGCGCCTACTCAGTGATTCCAAAGGCTGCTCTGGCTGCTTCTGTCCAGGTCTCTGGTCAAGAGCTGGTTATTTGTACGGCTCTGACTGAGCATCTCAAGACTACGCTTCAGTCCCCATCCACCTGGCAGGAAGCCTGGTTGTCAGCCACTCTCCTCCCCCGCCCCGCGCCCCCGCCCACCACCACCACCACCACCACTTTCCCAGGCTAACCCAAGCATGGTGTGGTTCCATTATTTACACAGTGTCCACGGTCCAAACCAGCCCACTGGCACCTCTGTTAGACCTGAATTCGAGTACGTGAGCGGTCGCTAGCATCTCCCTGGCCCCTGGGCGCGCCGCCTGAGCGCCAGACCACTGCGAGGCATGCACCTGCCCCGCGCTGCGGCCGGGCGGCTTACCTTCTCGTGGGCGGACACGGTGGCCAGACAGCCCCAGGCGCTGGCGTGGGCCAGGAAGCGGGCGGTGCCCGGGCGCAGCCTCGGGCCGCTCTCGCGCGGGTAGGAGAACATCCCGGGCGGCGCGGGCGGCGGTCTGGCGCGGGCGGCGCCCGCCGGGGGCGGCAGGTGCGCGTCCTCCTTGTGCGCCGAGGCCGGGAAGCTCTGCTGCCAGATGCTGCCCGAGTCCTCCAGCAGCGCGGGCAGTGCCTCCTCGGTGGAGGCGCTGTCCAGCTCCTCGTCCACCTCATTGGTGACGGCCCAGGACACCGAGCTCACGATCACGTAGCCCGCGGCCGGGGACAGCAGGGCGCTGCAGCACAGCAGCCAGGAGAGGCGGGTCCCGGGCCGCGCCGGCCGCTCTCCGCGGCGCACGGACATCTTGCAGGCGGCGCGTCCTGCCGCGGGGACCGCCAGCAGCGCGCCAGCGGCCTGCGAGGGCGGCAGCGCCCCCCTGCGGCGGATGCGGGCGCTGGCACGAGCTTCCGACCCCCGCAGGATGCCCGGTGGGGGGAGGTCCCCCGCCCAGCTGGGGATGCCCGCGCCGCCGCGTGCCACGCCGAGAAGTCGAGGCTCCCGGAAGACCAGATTCCACTCCAACGCGGCACAGACTGCAGTCGCCGTGTGCAGAGTCCTCATCGCGTGCCAGGTCCGGGCGTGGGCTCGTTTCCTGCTGGATTGGCACAGGCTCTGCCGTCAGATGGTGGGCGTTCAAATCCTGGCTCAATACACTCCTCCACTCACCGAGCTGTGTGACCCTGCTGAGTCACTTAACCTTTCTGTGCCCCAGTTCCCTCATTAGAGAACGAAGAAAATAGTGTCATAGGGGTGAGGGAGGGGAGGATTAAATGAATTAATATTTGGAAAGGCTTAGAACAGTGCGTGGCAGGGAGAAAGCATTACATTTTGTTAAAAAGACAAAGGTAGGGATTTTTATCATCATCTTATAGAAGAGGAACTGAGTGAACAGTGAAGGTAAGATTAGCATCAAGTCCCTCTCATGCCAAAGCTCTGTAAGGACAATGATGGTCATATGCTTTGTTATGACAGGAGGGCACTGCCTCCAGTTCTTCTAAAAGCAAAATCAAGGTGTCTACACATAACCTAAAATAAAGGTCAGCGCCCAGAGAGAACGGGGCTGGGATGGAGTGGGCAGAGAATTCTGTGTCCCACGATTTAAAACATTCTCTTATTGATGGAAATTCGGGTTGTTTTCAGTAATAAAGTTTTATAGATATCAAAATAATTTAGAATTTTTCACACTTTTTAAACCTCTGCTTATGGTACCCATAACAGGCTCCCTAGGAGGCATTTTCTGCTATAGATTTTCTACCTAGCGTCTAACAACCCTCCTTCAAATTTGTTATGGATGCAAATAACTTGCACCAGCACTAGGATTTTTAAAGACATTTTGATAAATGTTACATTCTGCAGTAACTAGAGGATCCACTGTTTACCATTCAAGCCATTTTTCTTAAATTCTACTTAATCTCCTCAGTGCCCTCCAAGCTGGCTCCCGGTCCCACCCTGGTCACCTTTCCAGGGTGCCCTCTTTCTGGCTTTGTCTACTGGAGCTCCCTGCAGCCTTCTGTGCAGCTGACCCCTCTCTCCTCCTTGGGGTCTCTTCTTACCTCTCTGGCTGCTCTTTCTCAGTCTCCTTCACAGATCCCCTACTCTGTCCACCGCTGCACATTGACATTCTAAGAGGACTTCTGTCTCTAGCCTTTTCTTCTCTGTACTCTGAGTGATCTCATCTACTCTGGTGGCTTCCGCCATCCTTTTATGCTGCTGACTTGACAACGAAAATTTCCTGCTTAGTGCTCTTGCTCACTTTCTCTCTCCCCATCCCTGGAATGATATGTCTTGCAGCCATGGAGATGCACATAACAAGTCATTAAAACATGGGCTCTGGATTCAAGTGAATCCAAACCCTGCTCTATCACCTACTAGCTGGGTCTGCAAAATGAAGACAGTGCGGTCTACCTCACCAGGCGGTTGTGATTACCGCATGGGGTATCAGGTGTGAAGTACTTTCTGATGGGGGATGAATATCATCCACCCTTTATATTTGCACAGGAGAGATGGAATGTACAGTCTAATCCCTGGAAAGGGAAAATATGGAGGAATATTGCAGGCTTTTGACTATCCTCTTACTCCAGGCTCCTCATCTGGTGGATGAGTTTGGGAAGAGGAACTCAACATGCTGTCTCAGCCTCAGCAGGGTTATTCTTTTCTCTTTTGAATGGTCTGTCCACTCTTCTCTTCTGCCATGTCTGAGCTGGGCTGCCCCTGGAGCAGGTGTGTGGCTGCCCTGTTCTCTCTATGACTGAGGGAGTAAGTTTGCTGGCAGAACCTAATTGGAGTCCTAGTTGGTCAAAATTGTCCCGACTATCTTTTTCTCTATTAAGCTTTCTGATTCCTGTGTTTTATTTCCCAATTAGATCCAAAGTCAAAAGGGATTTAAGAGGGTGAACAAAAGTCATTCTCAAACTCCATCACGTAACACATGCCAGGACAGGGTAAATGCTCAGAAAATGGTAGTCACTGGGATCTGCCTTCTGGCCATTTGCCCCTGAATATCTAACAGGTGTTTCACACTCAGCTTTCGGGAGACAATTCTCTGTGGATTTCTTGTGTTCCAACAGGGTCCAGGCCTGCTTAATACTCTTGACAAGCTAGAGGTGGTGTATCCTTCTGGAGAGAGTTAGAGGCCTATTTCCCCAGAGACATCTCAGGTGGTAAAGATAAAGCCCTTCCTTCCTCTCCCCAGAGACACTTGCTTACTCTTCAGGGTGATAAACCTAAAGACTGCTTCCCCACCTTTCCAGGAGATTTGCTTCCATTGCGGGGTATCACCAACAGCCATGACAAAAGCTGAGTCTCATAATTTCAGAGTTCCTCTCCACCGACAGGTGCATATACACGTGGCATCTGGCCTTCATTGCATCAGCCTGTGAAGACCGGGATGTGGGGAACCGAGGTAAGATATTGCTCTGGCTGTCGTTTTTTTCTTTGAGTAATAAATGGTCCATTTCTCTGACCCAGGAATCTTGAATTCTTCTATAAGTACACACAGACAGACAGACACACACACACACAGACGCACTCGTGGCAGGCTAATGTTTAGTTTGCACATAAGGGAAACTCTCAGCCCCTTCAGTTTTGGACTTGACAGCAACATGTTCTCCTTCCAAAGTCACTGCTCCCCCTGGGTTTACACCTCAGTGTACGACCTCAGTGTCTGTTGTGGACACCGTCACTCAAAGCAGAAACCTAGGTGTCACCTTGTGTTTGAAACAGACATAATCTCGCCTAATCTTTCACCATGACCTGAGTATTTTATCTCTTTAATATTTTAAATCTCTTAACATCTGTTCACTTCTTTCCTTGCTTTCTCTCGCTAACTTGGCTCAATCCCTCATAATGTCTCATTGGATTTCTCATCATTCCCTTGCTATAAATCCTTCAATGGCTTCTCATTGCCAACAGGATAAAGTCCAAGATCCTTAACCCAACATACTGGTCCTTTGTAACCTGGCCCCTGCTTTTCTCTCTCTTTCCGTCTCTCGCCACTGGCCCTCCCTCGCAGACTCTGCCGCAGTGATGCTGGCCTCTTCGTGGTCCACAGACGGTGAGCACCCACGACCGCCGGGCGGGCTCTGCAATGAACATTTTGCTGTATTTGCATTGTCACTCTCCATCTATGTATCTATCTCTCTATCTGTTCATCAATCTCCATGATAATCATTTTAACACATTTTAACTGAGAGAGTTGACATATGCAGAAAATGCATAAAACATGTATGTACAATTTAAAGAATCGCTAAACAGAAAACCCATGTTAACATGGTACAGCTCACTGGAAGTGCTCTGTATGCCTCTCATCACCGTCCCTGCCTCCTCCCCCAGAGATAATTACTATCCTGACATTTGTGAGAGACATTTCTTTGCTTTTCTTTATAGTTTTACCTCCTATGTATGCATCCCTAACTATTATAGATTAGTTTTATCTATTTGAACTTTATATCAGTGAAATGACACTTTACATATTTTTTGTGTCTTTCTACTTTCAGTCAAAATTACGTTTGTGAGAATCATCCTCGCTTTGTTGTTTGTGAATACTGTGTATCTACGGCTGTATGTATTCCATTGTGTGGCTGAGTGACTAATTTTTCCACTGTTCTATTGTCAGTGGGTGTTTTAATAGGTTTTATTATTCAGATATGGTGAGGCCAACAGATCAGGAGATGACTGCCATTGAAAAGGTAATTTATTCTCTTTGTACGTAGATCGCAAGAGAGGGAGCACATGTCATGTCACCGGAGGCCTCATGAGGGAGCACAGGGTCAGCTGGGATGCAGACGGAGAGGGGGCGCTACGGGCAAGCGCCGTTATCACGGTTTCTGCGGGAAGGAATAGGAGAGGAGGGCTGAGCAGGCTCAGGGTTGGCTAGTTTGAATAATATCAGGGCTTTGGGACACAGGGCTGTCCCTGGCTGTCTGGTACCTGGGCCTGGGGTGATTAGGGCAGGTGGATAGTGGCCTGGAGTGTGAGAGCCATAAAGGAGGCAGTGGGAGTGTGGGCTCTGGGTTGTTAGGTTTGTATTTCAAAAGTGCATCCCCAGGAGGACTCCTGGGAGCACTCCTCCTGAGGACGGGCAGTGACGAGGAGGCCACGGTGGGAAGACTCGAGCATGCTACCAGGTTGTCCAGAAGGAGGTGTGTGCGGCATGCGCACGCAGGGCAGATGTTACAGCATCAGGTTACAGAAACTAGAAACATTAACATACAATGGACGCCTGGGTTTCGAGGTTCTTGCCGGTACAAACAACCCTGCTATGAACATTGTTGTATTCTGGTGTGTTGCATCTTTTATGCCCTATCTCACTTCCTCTCAGCCCGTCTGTTTTCTCCAGTTGTTGCTGTGGTAACTGACTACACGTGGGTGTAGACTGATGGCAGGTCACCTCAGCTGTCCTGTGTAGCCCTCACTTTCTGCCACAAGACCTCTGGGCCAACTGCTGTGTGGACATCTTTTGGGCTCCACTCAGCCGTCTGAAAACCTAGGAGTGCAGAACATTCATACCCACTGGGACAGCTTTGACCAGTGGGGACAGGAGCCAGAGGATAAATGCTCCCCACCTCCAAGTCACAAGCAGACAATTCTGAAGGTGACTCTACACAGTTCCTCAGTGAGCGTCCAACAGGATTGAGCCTCGGGTGTTCACAGTGGTAACCGACTCATGATGCACCCTTAGAATGGCTTTCCTTCCTCCATGTTCCAATCATTCTAGGCCCCCACTCCTGTTCTTTAGGACTATATCCCAGAGTAAACCACCTGTGTGCAAGTCCTTGTCTCAGGCTCCACTCTCTGGAGGCACCTAAGCTAAGGCACTGGCACACACACCCAAGAGTTCCTCTAGAGTCCTGTATACCTTGTAGTGGAGTTGCTGGTTCTAGAATATGAGAATGCTTAATTTTATTACATAAGGTCAAACTGGTAACCAAAATGATTGTACCAATTTATATTGCTGCTATCAGCATATGAGAGTTCCGATTGCTCCACATTCTCGTCAACACACAGATTGTTGTTGGGTTTTCTGTTTTTTATTTCCCCCCCCCTAATGTGGTGGATGAGTAATGATATCTCATTTTTATTTTAATGACTAATGTGATTGATCGTCTTTTCATACATTTATTGGCCAGTTGGATATTCCCTTTTGTGAAATGCCTAATAATGTCTTTTGCCGATTTATATTGA